CCCTATATCCCCCTATATCCCCCTATACACCCCAGTCCCAACCCCCCCATCCCCAAAAGTTTCTCAGCGGATTTGGGCTGTACTCAGCAAGCGCAGTACAGCTTCCAACTCAGATCTGAAAAAAAAATAGTGGATGGTTGTTTTCTGACTGGTCGGCAGATACTGGTCGGCTGCAATACGGTAGGCGGTCGGGGTCGGCGGTCGGCAGGGATGCAACCATAACATGCCAGTTATTTTTTACCTTCAAAGCAGACCAAACAAACCCCAGCGCGTGTGGCTCAATCATTATGGTACACACATGTGACAACTTTTAGGAAACAGATCATGAGTTCAAATCGGTACGATAATCTGAAGGTCCTGGACTACCAGCTTTCAGAAAAAGAGGGGCAAATGCAGATTACGTGGGCCTCAGCTACGCGCAGTCCAATGAAACAAAATTGGTTCGGATTCCGACCACAGGCTATGCTGTATGTGGTCTGATGGGCGCTTTCTCCGGGGGGCGTTTGTGCTGCTCCGCTTTCTGCCGTTGCTCTCCAGCCAAGTTTCAGGCATGTTGCCGAGGGCTGGGGGTCATGTACCGCAACGTGCATTTGCGGGAATGGTGCATATGGGCCGGGAAGGAAGGGGGAAAGGTGGGCATAAGCAATCTGAAATAACCATTCGTTTTTCATTTTGTATTGTACGTTCTCGTTTTGTTGATGGGCCCATAAGAGGTCGCGGGCTGCTTCACAAGTAGAGTAGAGAGGTGAGCAAAGAAGCGCTTGTACAACGTCTCTAATCTAATTAAATTAGATTAGAATAGAATGCGGGTCGACCGTATATTTGAACACAGAACAGCTCCCTAGGTTGGATTCGAACCAACGGCCCAATAGATAGGGTAAGCAGTGTGTGTAATCTGACTAAGCTTCCCTCTGGGAGGAGGAGGACAGGGAGTCGAGCAACATCATCAGCCTTAAAGTTTGCATATCAAGCGGGCAGTGCGGCACTATGTCATGTGCGCAGAGTTTCCAATTTACCGAGTAGTCACACAGTGTCAATTGATGTGCGATAAGACTGAGGTGACGCAGGGAGGGTGAACACCAGTGTACGGCAGTGAGTGCAGTCAGCAGCAGTCCCCTTCCGCCCATCTCTCCTCCCCCTATTTTATTAATCCTGCGAAAGAAAATAGAAAGGCAAAGAATTTGAAAGAAATTGCTGTTTTTTTGGCCAAAAAAAAAAAAAAGAACCGGATCAGACGGTGGCCAAGAGGCGACTGAAGAGGCAGACAACAGCCAGCAGCAAGGACCTTAGACTTCAGTTTCACCACTGTTGTAATTCTTTTGCATCTCCTCAGAGTCTCAGACTGTATATCAACTGATGGCATTGTGCTAAGGGACAGTGGGACACTGGACCTGGTTTCCAGCAGGTGAAGCTCCCCAGGAATAGGCTGGAGGGAGCATCCAGAGATAGGATAGGAGGAGGAGGTGCTCGTACCGCCCCACCTACTTCGCGGAGGCTGGTTTTCAAAAAAAAATTAAAGAAAAAAGAAACAACGGTGGACGCGTCATGTTTTGAAAACCTAAAGGCAAAAAAAACTCGCTCCGGCAAGGAAACCACGCTCCAACTCGAAATGAGAGATTTCGGTGGAAAAGTATCGGTTGGGCATTTTCATTTTTTTTTGTTGTCCCCTCCGACACCATGGCCGACCCCTGTGAATATGACATCCGGTCTGACACCACGGCCGTCGGTAGTTCCGTCACCTTTTCGAACACAGCGTGGTTTTCTTTGCCGACGCGTGTTTATTTTGCCCATTCAATACTCAAAGGTGGCATGAACATACTTCACTGAAAAAAAAAAGGTTTTGGCAAATAGCCATCGATTCAGCCCTGGCACACACACACAAACACACAGACACACACACACACACACCCACAAACACACACACACACACACACACACACACACACACACACACACACACACACACACACACACACAATCAGGGACTGAACTCAACCTCAGAACCAGAATTGCAACATAACCAGCTGTCCTCCTATTATCTTTATTAGAAAACCAAACAAGAACATTCTTACTTCTTAGAGAATCAACAATGAACATCAGGAATCATGGCATGATGGGCTCTCTAACCAGAGTAGAGCAGGAGATAACGTAGATAGGAACCTCTTGTCAGTCCAGGCCACAACGCTCTAGTTTCTCCTTCTGCGCTGACCCAACATCAATCTTCCCCTCCATCTCTCTCGGTAGCCAAGTGTCCCACATCCCAGCCAGAGGCATAACCAGCCGCCGTCCCTGAAGCTCACATTAAATGGTGGGAGAGTCTGATGCCAATGGCCGTATATGAGGTGCGTATTGCTTTGAAATTCCATACCATGCACTCGTGATGACCGCATACTATTCTCAATGATATCAGCATGACATTGTGTGTCTCACTGTCTCTCTTGCAGGTTCACAAACACTGGCAGAGCTCCATGTCTCATCACCAAGAAGATTGATGCCATCATTACAGTCACCCCCCATAGCTGGCAAACATGATTAGGCGGGTATTGTTTTACATACAATGCGCTTGTGATGACCACCGACTATCCTGAGTTACATACGCATGCGTGTCTCCTGCTGGTGTATCCTTAGTTACACTGGCAGAGCTCCATGTCTGATCATGAAAAACATCGACGCCATCACCATAGTCACCCGCCATAGCTGCCAAACATGAGCCACCGGCATTAATCATCCTCGCTCGTCCTCTGCTGTGCTCCACAGAGCCCTGTCAGCTGCTCTGATAGGATGGCAACATCAGAAGGCTTACAGGAAAGCTTGCTCCAAGCAGCAATCTCCATTGCATGGATCTCGGCCACTTGGTAGGTACTTGGCATCTACAGCTACACGGCAGTCCTCCACAAGCCAACGATCAGTTGATTTTGGTGCGAATAAAGGTGACCCTTCACATCAGTCGCCTATTTACCTCCTATCCCATAAAAAATCTACGTCGCCCACAATGCCCCACATTATGATACATCTAATAGCAGACTAGTAAGTGAACTGAGGTGCACCTGTCGGGCTCAAGTCACCGCCGTTTTTTTTTTTTTTTTTTTTTTTGAACGAGTGCTCAAGTCNAAGTCACCGCCGTTAACTTGCTGAAAAGTTGCAACCGGCATCTAAAGGACACACAGTAAGTCCTTCAGAGGACGGTTTATGTGAAATTATATCCCTAGTATATTGACAAACTTCAAGTTGCCAGTTTGTCCATCCAGGACTTGACGTTTCTGTCCTCTGTCCTCTGGCCCTCACAGCTCCCAATTTTGCAAATATTAAGAGCCTCGGTGAGACTCAGATAAGAATTCGAACACCCTCCGAGCTTAGTGCACACATGGACGCGGACACCGTAAATTTCAGGAAATTAGCAGACACAGACAGTAACATATCTCTGAGAAGAACGCAGTTCGTACAGATACTCAGTTCGTAAGAACTTTGCAGACACAGTCCTAACTTAAAAGAAAAAAACACAATATTTCAAAAGACAGATCTGACACAAAATATATTTGCCTGATTCACTCTAAAATGCCCCAGTGCAAATATTGAACAACGAAAACATGGTCTCTCACTCTTTTTCACTCGACTACGACCTTGGATGCAGATGGTCGTCCTTACTGCTTTTCCTTTGTTTTTTTGTTTTTTTTTCTCTTTCCACAGATTCCGAACCTCCTGGTCCTTGCTCCACTCAATTCTGGGAAGCAGCAGTCTAGTCACTGACAGTCCCTATTTCACCGGCAGCCCAAAAATAAGTATTAATGATATCCACGCCCAAATGAAGCAACAATTCCCCTTGTTGCGATGAAGGGTATCTCAGACAGCATTGACTACTACTCAAGTGGAGGAGGATTTGCTTCCAACTGGGCGCCCATACAATTTGGCATCGGTCCCTAGTACCATTCTCCTCAGGCTGAGTGTCCTCTCTTTATCCCTCTCAAGAAACAGGCCTGAAAAGCAGTATCCACAGCCACCTGCAAATGCAGGCTGCAGATGGAACCAAGACTGAGTCTGGAAGTCATAAGCGTGCCTGAAAAAAGACAGCGAAGACCAAACGCTGACACTCCCGGTAGCAAACTTTCTCATGCTGCCTTCAACCCAGTGTCCAATCAGGTCAGGACCTCAGGAATATCCCTTGCTCATACTATGGCTGTTGGCCTCTACTTCTATTTGTGCATTATCTGCGCAGCATTGAGAGAAAGATCACCAGCTCTCAAGAAGAGAGAAGAATGACTCAAAACAGACAATAACGTTATTCCGCTGACTCAAAACAGGCAAACCAGTCTCTGATCCAATACCTTGTAATAGTCAACATAGACAGACAGATGCTGCTGTGTGTGTGTGTGTGTGTGAGAGAGAGAGAGAGAGAGAGAGAGAGA